ATATAAATTTGTATTTGTATTTGATTTGATTTTCAAATCAAATATTCAAATATCAAATCGAATTGCAGAACCCTATCTACCAGTATCCTATATTATCAGGATTCTGATTATTAATCGATAAAAAAATACCAATCAGTTGAAAATTGAAACCTGATTTGATCCTCCTCTTCCTTTCGTGAATTGTAATTATAAATAATTAAACAATCTTTCGTTTATACAACATATCAAATAAAAGCGTGATACATAAGTATTTAATCAAATGTTTATGTAATTGAACATTAAAAATTTTTTTATGAATACAAGAAAGAAACTTTCAATAAAAAATTGAAACTTATCTTATATCCCTTAGGTATATGCTTAAAGTTTCGTCGAAATCAAACATTTTTAATTCACAAAAATTCATTTATGTAATTTTATTAATATTATATATGACAGCATAATAAAAAGTTTTTCAGTTTATAAGCATATTACCATCTTTTTATCTGAGCTGAAACTAATACAATAATATGTCTAATTTGTCACCTGAAGAAATTGAAGCTTTGAATCCAGCTGATTTTATTAATAATTTAAACTCCAAGAAAAATGAGTTATTTCTTAGTGATAATCATATTAATGCTTTTGCAATTGCTGGTTCGGATTTTTTGAAGTTGACTAAACAAAAGCTTATTGATTCTCCTTACAACTTTAATACTGAACCAGCAAATAGAATTGTGAATTCATCTCTCAGTTCGATAGCAAAAGTAGGTTTTATCATAAAATAGTTTAATGTTTTACGTCTTGAATGCTTTATATTTGGCTTAACTTTATATTCATTGCTTCATTCTGCCTATGCTGTCTAACTTATTTATTCTATACGGTTATTGGAAATATAGACTATTTTCTTTTATATGATACGTATTTTAATATTTATAGGTTACCAGAAACTAAAGAATAATTGTGATCAAATGATTTATATTAATTTAGCGAAAGTAAACATATTAAAGAAAAAACCAAAAGATATATTATATGATATTGTTTAAGAGATTTACAAACTATTCGAAAGGATTCCTTTAATAGAAGAACTTATAGAGATTCTTATGATACTATTTGCCAAATCCATTTCTATTAAAAGTAACATTTTGGATGGAACTAAACTGTTGTAAATCACTTTATAATAGATAAGAATGAATTGAATGATAATAATTGTGGATATCTTACCGCATCAGGAATTTTTACATCTTTGAAAATGCTTTGTGACGTACGCTAAGCTTTGGAGGTGAAATTAATCTATCTAGTTTGATCAATTTTATCATATAATATCCACTTGAAAATTTTAGTGATGTTTACGATTGAATAAAATTGTCAATAGCTCAAAATATTCTTTTTACAGCTATGGTAAAGAATTTTAGACCAGATTTCTAGTTTGAATAAATGAAAAAATTTTGATTTTTAAAGGAGAGAATAAAAGATACTATAAAGAATTCATATTAGCAGAGTATGAACTTACTTCAAAAATGAAGAGTTGGAGTATTTTGTCTTATGATAGTGTTCTATATATCTTTGCGTATGCGTAATAGGAAACTCATTCAAATTTTATGCTATTAATTGAGATTGGAAATTGAGATCAGTTTCTCATCTATTTGATCTATTTATTCAAAAGGACAGGCTTCTAGCAATTGTCATTACTATTAACATTTATCGTATTTTACTTTTATTTATTGATCTTATTCTAGACTATTCCATAAAACTATATAATAAACTTTTTTGCTTATATAACACAACCATTTCTATATTAGATGACTGTATTGTCAAAACTATTGACAAGTATTCAACTTTTATAAATAACAACTTTCTAGTAATGGAAATTTTTTTATAAGAATACAGCCCATATATACATGCAATAATTGGCTGAGTTATCTAACTTTATAAGGAGACAGATACAGAGTAATTTTATTACCTCATGGTTATTATTATGAACCTCAAAATAAAAGTGAACTCAAAGATATCATAAAGACTATTCTAATTTATCAATGAAATCCATAGTATCAGATATGTTTATAGAGATATATGTTGGCCAAATGTTCTTCACCAAACAAATAAAAATTAGTTGGTAATTGATTATCATCAATAATGAGAATATAGGCTATAATGAAGTTTTTGACAATTATATCTAGTGAAATAAGACTAATATTTATTTAGCATTATATTGTAGGTAGTAATTTAGTATATGCACGAAATGCAAAAATAGCTTTTTTTATTAGTTATTATTCTACCTAAATTTAATTATAAAATGATGATTATTTAGTATTAATTTAGACAGATCAGCAATTAAGTAAATTTATAATAGGATATATAAGTATTTTTAGATAAAGATACTAATAAATTTAATTGTGTTTTTAAAAATATAATTTGAAAGGTATCTTGATAAATGCTTAGAATATAAAAAATAAAATAAATATTAAGTATATTAAATATATTAAATATAAATATTTTTTTTAAAATTTTTAAAAAAAAAAAAACAAATAAGGATTTTTAGTTTTACAATCATTTTATAAAAGAATATTTATCTAATTTCATTAAAACTACAATTTATAATCATTAAATGGATTATTATTTACTTTAAAAAAGCTTTAATAATTATTATAATAGCAGAATTTTTATTATTAAAAGTATAAATTATTAGCATAGAAATTTTTTTTCATCCTTCATATGATAATAGTTAACTTTTATTTTGTTAATCAAAATTAAATCTTCTATTTTTTTTACAAAAATTTAGTTAATATTACCTGTTATTAATTGAAATACTTTTCACTTAATGATTACATTTTGATGAAAATATAATTATTAGAACTGTCTTATTGAGAGCTTTTCAGTAAATATAAATTCAAAGTTATTAAATTAATAGAAGCAAAGATAATTTGAAAAGAGTGATTACTATTATAACTCTATAGATTACTACTAAAGAAAGCCATAATTTTTTAAGTTGTAACCTAATGATTAAAATGACTAAAACCTTAGAAATGATAATAACATTGTTAACTAAATTTATATAATTATTTAAATTAATAAGTTTCTTTAGTTTACTTAGTTAAATTAGTTAACATAGTTAATGAAATTTATAATATTTCTTTAATTTTTATAGTTTTACTTTATCTTTATTAGTAATAGAACAAATATTTGATATAAATACTAACTATAATTAAAAGACAATTAGTTAATAGTTAATTAAAGTTCAGTTAAAAACAGTTTAGATTCAGTTTGGTTTTAATTAAATTAATTAGAGAATTAATTGTAAAATTCATATTCTGATAAGTTTGTAAAATAAGAGCTTATTAAGTTTACTGAATTATATCGATCCACTTATATTTTATTAATAAATCAAACTTTATTCTATAACATTGATCTGTTAACTTGTAACCTAAACCCCAATCTATCATTATTGTTTTTCCTACATATTCAAAGTATTTTTATATATTCCTAATTTATATTTATATATTCTTAACATTTCCTATATATATAAATTGATATACTATTAATTTAATAGTTTTATTAACATAAACAAGTTCTTAAGATTACTAAATTGAATCATTATCCTTTAGATACCTATAATCTTATTATGTGTTAAAATTTATTTTTTAATCAGTAGACTTTATAACCAACTTGTATAATACTGTGATACAAAACAGATATTCTTTGCAGAGTTTCTAATCTTAAGAAATTTTATATCCTATAGGTATACTAGGATGCTTGACTTCTTAACCAATAATACATAATTCTATTTTTATTACAATTCCTTTACAAAATAATAGGAACATTATGTCTAATGAACTAAAATATGTAGTGTATTATAAGGTATTTTAGATAAAAAATATAAAGAAAGAAGAAAAATTTTATTTAATATTAAATTTTTTATAATGTTTTAGTTCATTAATTTTTACATCAATAAAAAATTATTTTATTTATAATAATTTATGCTATATTTCTAATTATACTAATTTTGTAATAAAATATAAAATAATAAATACAGTCAAATCTTGATATAGCAAACCCTTGATATAATAAAATTTTTAAATCAAATATATTAAAATTACCTTACTATCCTTTAGATTATAGGGTTTCGCAGGCAAATTTGCCTACTTATTTACTATAAATTTTCTTCTGATTTACTTTTATAAATAATTAATATTTTAAAAAAAATTTTTTTAAATTAATTATATAAATATGTAATATATTATAATAAGTTTTATCTTTTTATTATATAATAAAAAATGTGATGTTACTTAGAAGCTAAAAATTTGTAATTTTTAAAAAAATTTTATTTTAAAAAATTTTATAATTAATCTATGATAAACTTTTTAGGGTTTACTTTTAACTATATTAATTTTAATAGAATATTATAAAATTACTTATAAAGTAAAACTCTTATTATTAAAATTTTTGTAATTTATTAAGAAATTTTATGACTTTACAAAGGTTTTTTTTGCTCCAATCCTTCCATAAACTCCTTTTTTATGAAGATGTC